GTGATTGAAAACCCCTTCCACCTGAAGTCTGTGGATAGTTATTACAATGTTAAACAAAAATCTGCACACCAGTCAAGCCATAAGACTTGCTTTTCCCACAGAAATCCCAAATCTGCAGTGATGTTACAACCGCAAAGGATTCTGGGTGGGCATATGCAAATTAGTTTAACAAAGAATCACATTTTTGCCTCATTCCATTTTAAACATGGGTTCCTTTTAATATGTGTTTGCAGTATACAACTGCTTGGAACACAATTTCGGAAAAGATGCAAAACCAGTGAACCACTCATGGACAGCTGTTTCGTTGTTAATGCAACTCTTCAGCATGAGGTTGGTTACTGGTTTGCTTATTGAGGCTTGGTAGTGCTTGGGAAGCAAAAAACATTGTATTAACTATCCACAGACTTCAGGTGGAAGGGGTTTTCAATCACAATTTTTCCCCACCATAACCTAATTGGATTTTGCTTCCCAAGCACTACCAAGCCTCAATAAGCAAACCAGTAACCAACCTCATGCTGAAGAGTTGCATTAACAGCGAAACAGCTGTCCATGAGTGGTTCACTGGTTTTGCATCTTTTCCTAAATTGTGTTCCAAGCAGTTGTATACTGCAAACACAGATTAAAAGGAATCCATGTTTAAAATGGAATGAGGCAAAATGTGATTCTTTGTTAAACTAATTTGCATATGCCCACCCAGAATCCTTTGCGGTTGTAACATCACTGCAGATTTGGGATTTCTGTGGGAAAAGCAAGTCTTATGGCTTGACTGGTGTGCAGATTTTTGTTTAACATTGTATTAACTATATATATATATATATATATATATATATATATACACATATATATAAAAGAAACCATTTAATACAATAGGAACAATAACAAGTTGATAGGCCTCAATTTGGGATCAAAACTTGTTATTGTCCATCCTTTCTCTTTTGCCACCAAGCACTACATGATACCTCCACAGAGACCTTGCCCTCCATAAACTGGAACCAGTAATTAACAGGCATTTATTCATTTGCATCTACTTCATCTCCTTGGCAGTTTTAATAATCTGTGACTGCACCTTCCTTAAGGCCTGCTTTTTTGCCTCTGCCACGATAACACTTTCTTTACATAGGTGTTTCAGAGACTCAATTATGTTTTGAAGGGCCGAAGCACTCTCAACTGTAACAGAGAGATAGTTATTATTTCAGGGAGATGAAACTTGATAATGCTTTATTTGTATTAACACTAGTCACAGTTAAAGACTTAAAAAAAAAAAACACTGAGAATAAAAGAGTTAAAATAACAGAAATTCAACTACAGAGCACAAAGAAATATCATTCTGTAAAATTCGGGGTATTATTGGATAGATGGGTAAATATATGCAAACTATCCAATGAGTTTACATTTAAAAGCCGTTGTGGAACATATTTCTGAAAACAATATGATACATTTAATGTAGCATACAACTGACCAAGATTACAACGCATAGTGAATTTTAGTATAGAACCTTCAGTTCCAGGTTTAATGTCTGATGCAGAAATGGTTATGAAAAAATAAATGTATTTATAGATAGCGAGAGAAAGAGTTAGAGATAGACAGAGAGAGACAGAGAAAAGCAGATACAGAAAAAGAAGAGATTTAAAAAATATACTAATCTAACTTTAATATGACATGACAAATAGCAGACAAAATTTAAACTTTTTTTTTTAAATGATTAGTGAGTAGAAATAGGCAGGGATGGCTAGATAGATATGTATATATTTTTTAGTAAGAAATTCTCACAATTCACAATTTTCGTGGGAAAATTTTAATTCAAATGATTCTAACTCAGGAACATATTTATTTTTTTGTAACATGATTCGGACCATATGGGAAGCAAATATTTAGAAGTATTAATACTGTTATTATTATTTTAACATGATTTTATAGATTCCCTTTTTGGTAGGCATTTGTAAGGTAGGTGAGAAAGAGCAAATGTTTATAAATTTCTCTTTTTTAATTCTGCTTTGTAATACAGAACTAAATTAACACAAGTTTACACGTTGCTAGAATAATGTTTATATTGCACAATATAACTAGCTAAAAATAGCCAGCTAAATAAACTCGATTCAATTTTTTTTTTTAAGTATGTCCTTAAAGAGACACTATAGTCACGCAGACCACTTAATCTCTTGAACTAGTCAGGGTCCAGTGAAACTTAGAGAAACTGCAATGTTTAAATTGCAGGGTTAAGTCCAGCTCTCCCTAACTGAGTTTTATTTGGTGAAACAATATTGGACGTCCTCATGCTTTGAATGAGGATGTCTTGCATTTTCAAGTTCCCCATTCCAAGTTTCCCGTAGGAAAGATTTAATACTTTCATGTGGGGAAGTTTTAAAGTGTACGCTGTGATGTGAGCACTGCTCATGTGCATTAGGTCAGACCAGCTCTGTGGTGTCTCTGTGGAGGAGAAGTCCTAGCCAGCACTGAGGGAGTGCTGTAGTTAAAGTATGTAAAAAAAAAATGGTTTCAACCCTTTACATGCCAAACTGTCAATATTTTGTGTGGCCACCATTAATTTCCAGCACTGCCTTAACCCTCATGGGCATGGAGTTCACCAGAACTTCACAGGTTGCCACTGAAGTCCTCTTCCAGTCCTCCATGACATCATCATGGAGCTGGTGGCTGTTAGAGACCTTGCGCTCCCTCACCTTCTGTTTGATGATGCTCAATAGGGTTTAGGTCTGGAGACATGCTTGATCAGTCCATCACCTTTACCTTCAGCTTCTTTAGCAAGGCAGTGGTCGACTTGAAGGTGTGTTTGGGGTCATTATCATGATGTAATATTGCCCTGTGGCCCAGTCTCCAAAGGGAGGGGATTATGCTCTGCTTCAGTATGTCACAGTACATGTTGGCATTCATGGTTCCTTCAATAAACTGAAGCTTCCCAGTGCCGGCAGCACTGATGCAGGCCCAGGCTATGACACTCCCACCACCATGCTTGACTGTAGGCAAGGAACACTTGCCTTTGTACTCCTCACTTGGTTGCCGCCACAAACGCTTGACACCATCTGAACCAAATAAGTTTATCTTGGTCTCATCAGACCACAGGACATGATTCCAGTAATACATGTCCTTAGTCTGCTTGTCTTCAGCAAACTGTTTGTGAGCTTTCTTGTGCATCATCTTTAGAAGAGTCTTCCTTCTGGAATGACAGCCATGCAGACCAATTTGATGCAGTGCGCGGCGTATGGTCCGAGTACTGACGCGCAGACCTCCACCCCTTCAGCCTCTGCAGCCATGATCGCAGCACTCTGACCTTTGACATCGGCATACCCCGTACCCAAATTTCACCACCCTCAACTCTCCAGTCTCGCAGAAACCTCCACTGCCTAGATCTCCAACATTTCTCCACAAAACTCCAAACTCTCCTGTCACTGCAAGGGTGCATAATTTATTATTGCAATATGGAATATTGTCCTTTAATGTAATTTGTGTAGTGCATTAAGGACCTGCTGGCCTGGCAGAGATAGTATTGTCAATGTCAAAAGGGGTTCATTTTATTGTATGGGGTCAAAAGGGATTACATATTTTGAAGCTGGGACCCTCACAGAGGTCAGATGACAGAAGTGGTAGTGTGAATTGTAATGTGCAAATGATTTTACCAGATGGATGTGAATTAATCAAGGCTCTGCAGGGTGTAAAATCCTACACTTTTAAAAGCCTGAATGTCTAGCTGGCGTTAGTCATTTTGCTGTACCTTGTAATTGATGAGCCAATCTCTGTGATATGTTAATGGCCATTAGTCTTTGTGATGGACCCTCCATCAAGCGATGCTTTTAGTGCTCACCAAGGACCATCATCACCGCACCAGACACCATATGCACTGCAGACCCCACGAAGCACCGCAGCTTGGTTAGGGTCTCGCTGTCTCCTACCCACCCTGGACCTACGACAAGGCTACAGTGGGTGAACCTCTCTTCCTTCAGAGAGAGTAGCAGGAACAGCTCTTACAAGAGCTAGTGATTATCCAAGGGAGTCTGATGATCATAGCAATCCCGTGTAGTGATATAGCAGTTTCTTGCAACACGAGACGAGGCTGCGAGTTGAGGGTAAAAAGGTCTGAGAGTTTAATGGTACAGGTTAGATTTTTATACAGTTTTTCAGGCTAGAGGCACACCAACTGGACCTGATGGGGGACAGGGACACAAGGGACGTAAACCAATGAAAACAGTAATTAACAGTACGACACTCCCGCATACAGTAAACAATCCATCCCCTCTGCCTGTGATATAATTAAGGTAGTTAATGCATTTACTTAATTATCCACCGGCAGAAAAAACAAAAAAATTTATAAAGTACCATAAGCTTCCCCAAAACACAACATATCCCCATAAATGTTACATCCCATGATAGCCCTGATCTGGGTGAATAACATATCCAGAAATCACCCATATCAGATCATGGGTTCAGAAATTCTAGAATCGCAGCTATGTGCTGCTGGAGGACCAATCATGAACCGCAATGTTTTCATGCCAAAAAAAGTTCCAGGGCGTTCGTGGCTAAGTCCCCCTGAAGTCTATTTGTGGTTCTAGCCCATGAGAACAAGATTTTCCTGTTTTGAAACACTAATATTTGTGTTCAGCAAAGTCTCCCAAGTATAAGAGTACCCCCCATGTCAGCACAGGCAGTCCCCCTGCAGGCAGACACATGGACACCTATTGTGACCATGTGATAGCTCTGTTGAACGATCACATGGCTACATGGGTCCTAATCCGCCATGGGGAGACTGTCTGGGATGCAGGCAGTCTCCCCACAATGGGAGCAACACCGATAGCCACCGGGGAAAAGACGGCGATCGGGTAAGTACATTGGACCGTTAGGACGGTTCAGGACCATCACCGGTCAGCAAAGCAAAAATGTGTTGACGGTCCTGAACTGTCCTCGGTCCTGAAGGGGTTAAACAGCAACTAGATACATACTCGCAAAAACATAATATTCAATCGTATAATTTTTCAACTGTGGGGTAATAGCTTCTTGATCCAAGGATTAATCTGACTGCCACTCTGAGGTCAAGAAAGCATTTTTTGTTGCAAAATTGAAAGTGCTTCAAACTGAGATTTTTTGCCTTCTTTTGGATCAACAAAAAACAGATCTGAGGAAGGCTGAACTTAATGGATACATGTCTCTTTTCAGCCTATGTAACTATGTGACTGTTTGCAAGCATAGACAAACACAGACAGGTACACACAAGCACAGAAAGACACACACATGCACAGACAAACAGACAGGCACACACACACACACAGATATACACACTGACATACATACACAAAATAAAAGGATATGTTTTAGTAGGGCTGGTGGAGGGAAGGACCCTGTATAGAGAGTACTCAGTGCGTCACCAGCCCTGCACTTCCTGGTCTGTCAGTCTACTCAGGTTTCTCATGCTGCTGCTCTTCTCTCCCTTCCCATAATGGTCTACTCAGTGAGGTACAGCAGTGAGAGGAACAAGAGCAGTGATAGAGACCCAGGTAATACCACTTATTATCTGTAAAGGCACTGCTTGCAATCCTGGCAAACTCATGCCTGTCTGATACATGTGGTTGTGACCACACCTGCTTAGGGCCAGCGCTTCCAATAGGCGACTTAGGGTTCAGCTTCGAAGGGGGCCCTCATGTTGCAGCCACCTGATATTCAGGCGGCACAGTCAGGGCTGGCGTGTCCATTAGGGCGCACCGGCTCTGGGGGCACAAGATTTGAGAGACCGGCAGGAGGGAAGTGCACAGCGCTCCCTCTTCCTCTCACTCAGTGTAGCATGGTGGAGCTTCTGTTTTCTGTACCTGGCCAGACTGACAGGAAGTGCTCACCGAGAAAGCACTTCCTGCAAGTCCGGCCGGGTCCCAGAAAGTAAAGTTACTGTACTATGGTACGCTCCACCTGGCCACGCTACACTGGAAAGTAGGAGGCACTGCAGGGAAGGAAGGCGAGTGGGGAGACAGACCACCAGGGGAGAGAGAGAGAGATCACCAGGGGAGAAGGGGGAAGAGAGACCACCAGTGGATCAGTGGAGGGGGAGAGAGACCACCAGGGGAGGGGGTGAGAGGAGAGACCACTAAAAAACAGGGAGGGGGGAGAACTATAAGGAAAAGGGGGACAGGGGAGATTACCAAGAGATTGGGGGGAGGGAAGAAGAGAACCAACTAAGGGATGGGGAGGGAAGAGGAGAAACCACTAAGGGACAGATGGGGAGGGGAGAGACTACTAAGGGACAGGGGAGGGGGGACTCTAAGGGACAGGGGGGAGGGAGAGCACCAAGGTACAGGGGGCAGGATAGATCACTAAGGGATAGGGGGAGAGTTAAAGAGATTGTTAAGGGACAGGGGAGTGTAAGACACAGAGAGGCTGAGGAAGGGGTGAAATAGAAACACAAAGGGACTGGTATGGGAGGGAGAGAAACACAGAGAGGCTCAGGAGGGAGACACATAGAGGGACCTGGGTGTGTGGGGGGAGACACACACAGATGGGGCTTTTGAGGGAGACAAACAGAAGGACCTGGGGTGGGGGTAAAAGAGACTCACAAAAGAGCTGGGAAGAGTAAAGAACACAGAGGGGCTGGGGGAGTACACACAAATGGGTTGGGAGGATGTAGGAGACATACAAGGAGAGGAGGTGTAAGAGACACACAAGGGGCTTGTAAGACACAAAACTTAAAGAAAAAAATCTATTAACAAAATAAATCTATTAACAAAATAAATATAATAAAAATAAAGAGCTGCTTCCCTCTCAGCCCCTATCCTACTCCACAAACCCTCTCTTTCACATTACACACATCCACAATGCATCCTTACAAATACACAGAAACCCACAATGAATCTCTTCACACACACACTGCTTCTCTCTCTCTCACACACAAACACATACACACACAAACACGATGCATCTCTTACACACACACTTAATGCACTCCTTACAGACAAACACTGTATCCCTTACACATACAAACAGAGATTCACACAATGCATCCCTTACACACAAACACTCACTGATTTCTATCCCTTACACACAAACACACTGCATCCCCTATACACACACACACTACATCCAGTACACGAACTGGTAGCCCTATACACTACATTCCATGTGAGAGAACTCAAGTGTGGGCCATGTAGGTGGACTTATGAGCAGACCTTGTAGGCATACTCATGGTCAGGCCTTGGGGCCCCAGACCTTGAGCTGTGAAAGGGGCCCCAAAAAATGGACCTGATTCTTGTTTGTTGATTTTTGTGTGCACTGTTACAAACAGCCTCAGGAGAGCCTGTTCTACACCAGACCAGTGGAGCCAGAATGCAGCCTGAGCCCATCATCCTCCTCCTCATCTGGTAGTAAGTAGGTAATCCAGTATATTATTAGTGGCACTAATTTCTAAATTACCTCACATTAAAAGGACACTATAGTCACCAGAACCACTACAGCTACATGTTGTGGTTTGGTATCTATAGCCTGTCCAAGCAGGCTTTTTAATGTAAGCACCCTGCCTTTTCAGAGAAAAGACACTGTGTGCAGCACTGGTGTTAGCTCATATGGCAGGTCATATGGGTGGGGCATTGTGATGTCACATGGTGGGCAGAGCATATGGAGGGCGGCACATTTTTTTTTCCTAGGGTGGCAAAAATTATTGTACTGGCCCTGCACCTTCTACCTCTGCAAAAGCAAATTGCCACCAAATTTAAATATTTCTAAAATTCTAAAAGTATTCTAAAATCTGACTGTGAATAAAAACCTGTCTTTCATTTCACTGGTTTCATCCTAAAGGATGGTCGCTCATGCTACAGTCTCTATGTGTGGGAAAGTTGTTTATTCTCTTGATGGAATGGGTGAGTAGATCACCATTTGTCAACTATTTTTTTTGTTTTTATTTTTTTAATTCAATATTTTCAAATTGAAATTACTCCTGCTGTTGCTCCACCTTGCTTATTAATACAAGACGATTAAAGGGAGACACTTCACTGCCCGAATACAAAATAAATAAATAAGTAAAAAAAACAATATTTAATTGATAAACACCAATGAAAACATGCATGCATTTCATTATGCCTTTTCTCAGGTAGGTATATCTAATAACAGCTTTCAAAGCTGCATTTTTCTTATCTATAGCCCTTTGCAAGACTTCCCATTCTAACCCAGCGCTAAACTTATTGTGGCTATTAAATTACATATTGTCCAATGCAACTCAATAAGAAGTATTTGCATGTCAGGTGCTACAAGCAATTGCTTACCTCTTGACCTTAGCTACACTGAGCAAAATACTAGGAGGTAATGGGACAAGTTGTCTGCCTGAAATCCAGGAAGGGGGGTGCGGGGAGGGAGTTTAACTAGGTTTATTAATAGAAGTGCCAATTTCTATTGAAATCTGAACTTTTTATCAAATGAAAAAAGTCAACACATTCTTCACGTATAACGCATTTCAGCACGCAAAAGATTCTTGAGTGTCCCCTAAATATATTTATTAATATATATTAAATAATGTAATTAATATGACAAGTTTATAACTCTGAATTGGCATTTCAAAAATATCTGGAATTGCTTAGCCATTAGGCTAATCAACAATGCATCCATTTTTTTCATTTCAGTAGACAAATAGGTGCATTTTCAATGCTCAAAGTTCATGGACCTGAGGAAAGTATCAATTAGTAACTGGAACATCAACATTGTGTGAGCATACTAAGAAAATAAAGCAAGTTTGGAATTTAAAAACTGAGAGTGTGGGATAACTACACTACACTGTACACTATACTGTCAGAAGTGCAGCACTCTCCGTGTAATGGGGGGAAAAATTAAAAAACTGCCTCGGTGCTACCACAGGGAAAAAAAAGTCAAACAAAGGCAATTGAAATAGATGAATACAAGAGAGGGGGTTAAGGGTTGCGCTAAAAAAATAAAAAAATAATAAATAATAATAAAACCAGATATAATCAATAGACAAAGTTCGTCCAAGAATAAATTGAAACAGTCTCACTGATATGTGATGATAAGATAATAATCCTCAGGTGTTGATCCGTCCGTATGGCAGATAGTCCATATATGTGGAAATAAAAAAACAAAAAGAGAGCTGCCAATGGTGAAATATTGTATGTCCAGATGTGATGTATAAATCAAGAGAAAGATGTTTCACTCACATTTGTTGGAGCTTGAACCAGCTCTAGGAGAAGAGGCACTTAGTGTTTTGATCCCCACTATAGGATATACTTGGATGGTTGGTCCGTCTGTCCGGCTTGGGATTCCCTTGGTGTAGGCTGGGACCTACTCAGATGTACGTAGTTCTTTGGTGCTTAGGAGATAGGTCCGCCTCTCCAATTTTGGATAATGGGTATCCACGAAATATATATAAAACAGCAGATAGTGCTCTCAGTGTGAACAATAAAGCAATTATTAAAAAATAAGTTATACTTACAAGAATAGAGCAGACAGATACTGCTCTATTGCCACAGCGCTGGTGGAATTATCCCCACCTAAGGATTTCTTTGGACGGGATACACTTGAGAATGAATTTAAAAATAAAAAATAAAAAATGTAAAAATGGTATAAAATATATAAGAATGCCAGGAGTAGTAAAAGTGTATAAAATACAAGAAAAATAAGTATAGAATTGGTCCTAGTATAAAAGGTAACCAAAACTTTTGATTTAAAATACACTTATTAAAACTATTTACGAGTTTCACCTATGAGGTTTTTTTCAAAATGGTAAAAGAACAATACACCTGGCAGAAAACAGAATTTATAGGTACATACAGAGATTGAATATGGCACCAAATTTTAGTGCACCAATCATATACAAGAATTAAAACCGAACATAAAATACATTTTAAAATGTGTTAAAAACCATATAGGTATAATGGTATAAGCCTAATTAGGCTTGGGTAGTGCTAATTTTATTGAAACTAAGCTTTTGAAAGGATATAATTAGAGTTGGTCCCGATCACGTGTCGGGACGTGCCGCGCATGCGCGAGCCGTCTAATGGGCGGATCACTTGATAGTGTAAACAGAGGGCTCAGTGGCTGGCATGGGAGCGCAATGCTCCATGGGGAATGGAGTCCTGCCGGTCACTGAGCTCTCAAGGATTGGAATCCACAATAATAATCATAAAAATAAATACTTTAAAAGGAAACATAAAGGAGATTTAAAATCACAATAAGAGGATATCTAAAGTCACAATAAAAAGACATGATAGGTCACACAGATTTGACATAAGGGTATTAGACCAGT